GAAAAACTAATAGCCACCTAAAAAGCCTTAGAAAGACAGACAAAGCAAACAAAACAAAAGCATACTAAGAGGGCAAGAAAGAAAGATAGGGGTAGTTACGAGGCCCACTTAGTTAAATGAAAGTAGAGCGCGAGCGGGACATTTGTCTTAAACCGCCCGGGTAGCTAGCAATAGGCTAGGAGAAACAGAAGGAAAGGCACCAACACACAAGTGTGTTGAGTGCGATTTCCTTCTGTTTCCCGAGTAGCGGGTGGGGTAGCAACGGAGGCCCAGGGGTAGGGAGGGGAAAAATGCACGATTAATTCATCCGGCCTGTGAATACTTAGCAGCGCACGCACATGTGAATACTTAGCCGTCAAACATCTCAAAAAAACAGCAAGTGTTGCAGGACTGTCAGTTCCCGTGGTGAGGCCCGGCAGCCTTTGTGGCAGTTAATTCAGTGGTTGTGTCGGTGACTTCCGGTGGAGTTCCTGTGAGAAGTGGTGAGGTCAGTTAGTGCTTGCACGATGAGACAGCGCCCCTATGACGGGGATCACACTCAGCACCCGAGTGGGACGGCTGAGCGAAACACACTCTGACAATTGTATTCAGTTAACTCAGTTCCCACGTTGGGAAGGAAGGCGATGGAACAGCAAGGTGGCAAAGTCCGTTGAAAAGTATTGTTGAACATTGTTCAAATCGGCTGCGAGACGATCAAAACGGCGGCGCAGCTGCTGGGGAAGAGTAGGTTTGTGGGAGGTATCATGAACAACCATGGAAGCAAACACGAGAGATTGAAAACTGGCGCAGGTACGTCCAGAGAGCGTCCTCTCTGAATATCACATCCGATCAGCAGCGTCTTTGTTAGGCAGTGACTGCTGAAAGGATCACTGCCCCCCTGCTGGTGGAAATTGCTTTCAGGGTGGAAAACGGGGGGGAAAAAAGAAAGTCCGTAGCGGTGAACCCTTGGTCCAGGGGTTGACACACACAACACACACACACAACAACCTTCGCGCCAAGCGAACATTAGAAAAAATAACTATAGGGACTTCCGTCCAAAAAAAACTTTATACCATGACTCTCCTTTGGAGACACGCCCAGACGCCGTCCACTTAGGCGGCGAGGGCGAGGCCTCGGAGGTCGCGGGCGACGAGTCCACTGAGACGAAGAGCGAGGTGCCGGACGAGGGCGAGAAGAGCGGCAAGGAGACCGATGGGGAGAAGGAGAACGAGAAGGAGGAGGAGGACCCGAGGGTGGCTGGATGGGAGGAGTAGAAGGGCCGGTTTTGTTGGGAGGAGTTGGACGGTGTTTTTGGGCGGGTTCTGGGACACCCGAAGAAGAACGAGTGAGTTCAGGATGATGCAGATGGGTGATTTGTAGTTTGTTATATGGAACAGTCCTACCAATCCTGGACGGACCATAAGAAAGGATGCCGCAAGTGGGTTATGACATGGTATATTGCGATGATATATCATGTTACGATGTTTTGGGGTCACGCCCATGTTTGATCATGTTTTTGTTTTATCAGACCGTCAATCAGGGTCAGGCGACCCCAGCGCTGACAAGGAACGCGAACACGATTCTGGGTGAGAAGCAAACCCCTGAGAATGAAACCGAATGGATGTAAAAGGGCATGGAAGAACCACGTTATGTAACTGTTTTTGTTTCCTTCCAAAAGCTACCCCCGTATGACAGCCCCTTGAGCACTAAAGGTGGGGTTCCACAAGGGGAATGCACAGATCTGTTGACCAGCTACATCGCGCTACCCAGAAACAGGGAAGGCTTCCTCATTGCAGAACACCGACATCCCAAACAGCAGGCGCAACACTGTTCCACAGACAAAGTGGAGCACTTTCCCTGCCCTTCAAGACGTTACACATCACCATATACAATGATGTTTTGTCCATCTCCAAATATATGTATATATATATATTAAATTGACCCCCAGGCCACCAGACCACCGGTTCTTCCATTCACACCCACTTGCGGCTGTTGTCGGTTTGTTAGCACCTTCACAGCCGAAAAAAACATACCATCCCAGACCATCCTTTTTTGAAATTATATATTATGGCCTTACTTTATGTAGGTATATGAAGATAACTATTCCATGCATGGTCAACTGGTCCATGTCGCTTGAGGGCCACCTGAGATGGCTACATCCGTCAAGCGCGACGGTCTTTGAAAGGGTCGACTAAACATTCAGTGCCTCCGAGGGAGAAGTCCATGCGACCCTGATGTCCAATGTTTGTTTGGATTTAATCTGCGATGGAAAAGCCCAGGAAAAACATGAATTGTCTATGGTGTTGATTTGGCAAGATGTGAGTCGACGGAGATGGGCGTGTTCCACGTTCGTCAAAGTGTTTGTGTTCTAGGAGTCGACGGAGGTTGGTTTCACAAGCTGTCCTGTCCTCCCGGTGCTGTGCGGATGCATTGGTTGAGGCAAAGGTCAAGTGATAAAAATCAATGGCATGATGCTTGATTGTTTCGTACGGATGTCTTTGGGAGGGTGAGGATTCCCCCAACAGCCTTTTTGCAGACATTCTTGAAGGCATGTTGCCAGAAGTTTACATGACCTGAAACTCGGCAGGATGCGAAGGATGAGTCTGGCACTGCAGCTGATGACAAGTAGATGCTGAAAACAGACAGGTTGGCCCTGTGAGCAGTGCAGAAGGTTGCTCCAGCTGCCAGGGCTTTGCTGTCATTTCTTGCAATCTCTAGCATTCAGTTCAAAACTCAGCAGCATCCTGACTACAACCCAACTAACCTTGGAGTTGAGGAGAGCCCTCCAGCCCAACACAGAAACTCTCCAGCTTTCTAAGCCGCATCCGCCGGATGCGCATTCGACCATCAAAGACTCGCGCCGCGGCCTTGGCGACGCAACAAAGGACGTCGGCGGGTTGGGGAACGTTCGCCACGGAGGTCAACTGGAGAAACCGGGCTCCAGTCGTACATCAGGTTCGGTACGACTGGACCCTCCAAACCCACCCACCCCAGTCCCACCTTCAAAGGCACTTGGTGGAGCAGTCTTCCCAAATGGTCTGACTTTGACATCGTCAACATAAGAAACTGGCCGTTTTTTGCAGGTCGCCCAGTGCCCAGCTGTCCCCTAAAGCCCTGAACAATACCGTTAAGGGTGTCCAAGCAAAAACCCATCCAACTCATGCCTTGTGGGCCTTGTGGAAGTTGTAGTTTAGCATCTATCCGTGAATGACCAACAGCAACAAGCTAAGTGTGTGTTTTTTCCACCTTGAAATGATTCTGGCAGATCATCTCCTTGGACTGTGCGGACTGCATCACACATGCTGACCGGCAGTCGGCACATTCCTCACGGTGCATTCTGTTGATTTTCTGAGCCCCAAGAGGAATGACCCTTCACTCCGGTGACTCTCATTTTGTGATATTTTGTGTAAGGTCGACTAGCGCTGACCTCGGTCAGCGCTAGCCGACGGCTACCCGACGGCGACCCTCCCGTTCCGAGCTACCGTTCCCGTGGATTTTGGATCATGTCCGGCAAGCCCAGGCGTATGGTTATAGCGGTCAGAAATACAACCGAGACATGCACCAGTGCAGCGCCTGACTTAACTCATAATGTGTGTAAAATTGTTGGGCTTGTCCCATTCCTACTGACAGTCCTATGTGGCTCTACCCGCAATTCATTTAAGGACTCCTTACTAATCATCATCATCCGCTAGTGAATCCTAGTGTGAATCCTATACCTGAATCACAAGATGTTCTGCAGAGATGATGCTCGACTGATCTTCGAGGTGGCCAGGTTGCCTCAAAGTCAAACCCTGATGCCTGCAGCGTCCAAGCCAAATCAATGCAAAAACACCTGGGTCAGGGGAGAAAACCACGGTTCTTAGATGGAAAGAACCCCTGGGATGCCATGATCGAGTGTGGGGGTCTTGAAATCATCACTCCAGCTCCGTGCGACCAAGAACTGCTTCAACCGATGAAAAGACCTCCCAGCATCCAGTGAACTCCCAACTCGGCGCCGTGCCGAACCGCGCGCGAAAGTGCAGGTGGTGGAGATGCCCTTGCTGCAGCCCGAGCGCTTTGTGGCGCTGGGTATTGATCCTCCGAAGGCGACCGTGATGCGGTTTTGGAGGGGAAGGGTAGTCAAGGGATTTACACCCTGGAAAATTGGAACCTGAAAACCACAAGGGTCCATTTTCAGGTTCCATGTCGCAGTGATTACACCATGCTTCCCTAGCATGAACCCTGAGAATTGACGGAGACCATTTTCCTCGATCACCCAGTGGTTTTGCGAGTCCATTTGCGGTGATTGATTGTCGTGGTTTAGTTTGGGGGTGAATGGGAGGTGGTGGTTATAATGTGTGGGACAAGTAGGAATAATGCTTATACTGTATAAGGCTTATGGGACATGGTTGCCCTACCCCAAGGCCTAAAGCTATAAACAATGACCGGAGACGGATGGAATTGAAAGGACGTCCTCATCCTCCAAAGCCGCTGTTCGTGGGTTGCGATGCTTGCGACTGATGAACCACAACCACCTTGCAACCGAATAAGTGGCCAAGTCAGATGGGTGTGCTTAACAGGGAGATCCCCAACCAATGGATTTTTGTCTACTATCCTTCTTCCAGGGAATCGAACTGTGGGGTCACACTCAGATAAAGGAAATATGAAAACTCCTAGTCCTAGTCAAGGCCTGGTTGACGCAGGTGAGAGAGGGACTCAGCAAGGTGCCTTTTCTCTCTGTCACACTCGACAGGGTGTGCTGCTCTATGGCCCACCGGGCACCGGCAAGACCCTGACAGCACGAGCAGTCGCGAACCGCCGGAGCCTGAGAGTTGGATTTTAGCAAAAGGAAAAAGCTCTGGAGGGTTTGGAAGATAGTTCTTTTTGGCCGGGTGTTTACATGGGCGGCTCTCAGACGCCTGGGCTGTGCCTCTTTCCTTTGATGGACCTCTTCCAGTACCTCTTCCCTAAGCTCCAAGCATGGATCTTCTGTTGACATCAAATCAAGACGCGTTGGTTTCACCCTACAGCAGAGTCGTTATTGAACTTCCTTGCGCAACGCGCGTAGAAAAAACGCACTCGTACCTACCGCGCGGTGCAGCGACAACGTCCGGGCAGCGCACGTCCGCCGCAGCCAGGCACCGACGCGTGCTTCATTTGCGTCATCGGATCCGAGTTGGTGCAGCGCTACGTGGGCGAGGGCGCACGCATGGTGCGCGAGCTCTTCCAGCTGGCGAGGACGGGTAGGGTCCTTTCTTGAGACCCTTGGCCCCTGAAGATCATGTCAAGTCGATTCACTATTATATATAATTATAACACCTTTATGATCTAGGACAAAAAGCCTAAAACCAAGGGATTCGTTGTTTGCTCAATTCTTTTACAGTTCTTGTGTTTCCACTGACATGGGGGGGGTTCATAAGCAGCATCACTCATGGATGGAGAAGATAAAGTGATTGAACCCACTCCCCCATGGCTGATTACTATTTGTTTGTTTCTGAAATGAGAGGTGTCTGGTTTAGTTAATAATCATGTGGCATTTGTTGGATGACGTGAAATTAAACATGGGCATGAGTGAGAAACAATGGGCCTGGGGAGTACGGTGTTTTGTTCATCCTTTCGGATACAAGAGTGCATGAATCAGAAGGTCCCCGTGCTTTCTGGCCCGACATGCATGATAAGCTACCCGGATTTGCTATTTGGTCATGCGAAATTGCAGTCAGAATGCTCTTGGGCTTAAAGACCTCACCTGAGCGGTTTCTCAGCCGAGCAGCTCGATGCTTTCTGACTGAGAGTGGTGGTGAGCGGGTTTTTGACACTCGAAATCCAACTTTTAGCACAGTCGTCATGGTTTATCAGCTTCCCAAATGATACACTGTTTATACAGGGCATTGGGGATAGGTTCCCAATGAGTCCTTCGTGATGTTCCAACGGTGTTCAGCTTTCCAGAGCCGATGGCGGTTTTCTTGGAGTGCGTGGGAGGACCAAGAAGGCTTGCATCCTCTTCATCGATGAGGTGGATGCCATTGGCGGTACCCGTGGCGGTGATGAGGGCAACAGCGATAGTGAGGTGGGGTCCGGCTGGGTGATTAGGAGAGGTTTCTTTGGGCCCCCAAGAAGATGAATCCATTGGCGCTTGATGGTTTGATCTGGTTTCTCTGATGTGCATCTCATCACTTGCAATATCATCCCCCTATCTCTCCAAAAACCAGGGAGACCTTGGAAAAGGTGGCAAAAGCTGCTCAACGTTGCCGACTTCATCAGGTGCAGCGGACCATGTTGGAGATTGTCAATCAGTTGGATGGCTTCGACTCGCGCGGCAACGTCAAGGCGCGAACGGAGACGTCGTGCGGACCGTGTGAGGAAGGGGTGGAGACATGGCAGTGGAAAAGATGGAGTGTTCAGAGCATCTGGCTGTATAGGATCTTCCGGCAACTAACTGGATGTCCATGTTTCAAACCATGTTCCATTGTCTTTCTTCAACAGAAGACCTTCATTCTCCACCTCCGCATTCGCCATGGGCGGTCGTTCTCGCCAGTTCAGGTTCTCATGGCCACCAATCGACCCGACACGTTGGATCCTGCGCTGCTGAGACCGGGGCGTGCCATGGCGCAGGGAGCTTTTTGTGCGGAGCACCGACTGAGAAGCAGATGGAAGAGATTCGGAGCCCCAAAACCGGGTTCATGGGGTTCATTGGAGGAATGGCATGGTTTAGTCCATGGGATCGTTTGTGACGAAGAAGGGGGGGGGTGTTGATCGTGGGGCGATGTTGAAATGGCTGGAGAAAGGAGAGACCCCAGCTGGACTACACAAGACCGTCACGCAGAAGTCGTGATTTTGCGAGGACCAACGGGATGGTCCAGGTAGATACCGTAGACATCCGTAGACCATGATAGACCTATCATATACACCCTATAGTAGATCCCTATAGTACGCCCTAGCTTTTGCTCTTGACCAAAATCGTAGAAGACACATGAATACACCGTGCGTACTCTCACAAAACACATACTCTCGCATCCGAATGGCGGCCCATCTATCCCGACCCCCGACCGACCCTCCGGTTCATGAGCTGCTCGCTTTGAGCGAGCGAGCGAGGCTCGCGTTCCGTTTTCGAGGTTTGGACCGGAAGATCGAATTTGGACTTCCGGACTTGGAAGGCCGCACACATATCTTCAAGATCCATGCCAAGCAGCTGAGCGAAGAACGGAATGGAACGCTGAAATGTGAGAGCGCAGGGAAGAACCATTGAATCTTCCAAAGCTCCCAGAATTGGGGCCTATTTGGGGCCTATAAAACAGCGAGCCACGCCAGGTTCAGCAGACATGGAAGATGTTTGGCGTATTAGATGGTTTAAAGGACTCTGAAGAGTGGCCAGCGGTTCTTTTTCTGACTACCTATAGGCAAGTTTCTTTGATGCAATGTGAGGAAGAGTCAATAATGGGCTATTGTGTCCATCATGTTTTTGTTTGACGCATCCTACTTGGCCCTATTTTCCATCAACACGGTGTCATGGGTGTAGAAATCGCAAAGCACCTGCCGCATGCAGGAGCCTCTCCCCAAAAAAGGAAGACAGCTCAGTGGCTTGGGGGAGCCCTTTGAAGACCTTAGAAGATGCATAATTAATGTAGACGTTTATACGTTTGATGAATAACATCTCCATAATGAAGAGGGTATGTAAGCGAAATGGGGTGTATTAATCAAAAGTCGACATGACTTTTGAATGAGGCAGGCCGCCAGCTGCTTTTTCTGCTCAGGACTATGGCAATTGATCGTGATGTCCGTTTCGAGCTCCTGGCGCGACTCTGTCCCAACACCACAGGCAGCCGTTGGCGGAAGCGGGACATGGAAAAGCTGGATGGAATGGAAGTAGAGTGAAGCATTGGCAACTGAAACCAAGGGGGAAACCCCGAAACAATATCCGAAACATCCGCAGCGATGGTCTTCCTGGAACCGTTCGCTTGTAGAACATACGGTGAAAGTACCTTACCTTTCAGAAGTCGAAGTTCCTTCTAGAGGCCCCATCTGCAAAGTTAGCTGTTCGCATGTCTTAGCAAAAGCACCGGATGAGTATGGATGAGTGAGGATCATTGTCATCAGATAAGAACAGCGGTGTTGTATCAACACCCCAGTAAACGGGCACGGTCTCGCACACCCAGCCGCTCCACCTCGCTCCTTGGGGGGGAGCTGAGAAACCGCATGACACGATGGTGCTGAATTAAACTCCGCTAGGCTAAGCCTATGCTGAGCCACGAACACATGGACAGCCATTGATTGACTGGTCTGTACCAAACTACCACAAGTCCGAAAGCCACTGACCTAGCAAAGCGAGATACAGTGTTATGAAGGAGCGGCCGAAGGGGAAGTGACCAAACGCTACAACTAACTAAGGCCCGTGCCAAGTCCGAATTAAGCGACCGACTAACGAGATTTCAAAATGATCGTTATGATTTTTGCCCACAAAATCAATCCTTTCTTTTAAAGTTGGTCTTTCAAAGCTCGGGAATCCCCTGGATGGAAGCCCACAGGGCTTCTCCTTCAACGGCACCAAAACAGCGCCCGTGTCACGTTGCAGTGCCACCCAGCCGCTCCACTCCTCCTCTCGCAGGAGCTGAGTGCCGCAGCGTGTGCACGGAAGCGGGGATGTACGCGATCCGGGCGCGCCGGAAGAGCATCTCTGCCACTTGGGATCGGACCGATCGGAGACCGATCAGGTGGAGCAGGTGGGTCGGAGAAGGTCGGGGGACCGGCATTTGTAGAGACCAGGGAGGGATTTAGGATGTAACATCACCCCAGATTTCCTTCGAACAGAGGTGGAGATGATGCAAGGATGCGGAAGCACTGTGAGCCTTGTTTGGTGGGTGGGTGTAGGAAGAAGAGGGCACACCAAGGTGGAATCGAGTGGAATCGGGATCGTCAATGTCCAGGAATTCGATTGCATCCAATCCGTGGCCCAGTGGCTTTGTTCGGGATGGGGTTGCTGGTTTGCACACTCACTGATTTGCGCCCGCATTTCACAGTCCCAACATGTCCCAACATACTGATGCATCCAATCCTTGTCCCCGTTGACGGGTTGGAATCCGGCAGAGTCGGATGATTGGTGTGGGTGAAAAATCAGGCGGCGGATTTGTGACGGCGTCAGTGGTAGACCATGCAGTAGACCATGGATGACCCCATCATGGCCAAAGACTGGAGTAAGACCCACCCACTCCATGAACTCATCATAGAAAGTGAAATTTTCTGGAGTAAAGGGAGTGGGTAGGTCTGACTCCAGTCTTTGGCATTGCCCCATCGCCGGATGCCGAAACCCCCTAAGGAGAAGGACCTCATCGATGCCATCAATAAGGCGATGCCGGAGAAACTCCACAGACTGCGGAAGGGACAGGAAAGCGATTGAAGAGTAGATGATAGCGGGAGTTTGTGGACCAAGATGGATCAAGCTTCGCACCTTGCACACCAGCACACTGTGCATATTTTTTGCCCAAGCAGACCAAGCAAGAGACATGTTTGCTTCAAGACTTCGTCTACCTTTAGCTTGCATTTTCAATTGCTTGAGCTTGTTCCAGAGGAGTTTCCAGAGGATATTGTCATACATGTTTTGCATTATTTTCCAGGTAAGTTGTTTCTCCCAGGTAGGCCGTGATTGAGTTCAAAAAACACTGAGGAGCTCCCAGTCTTGCACTAACAACCTTGGATGCCTTTGGAGGGGGAAGTCCTACAGAGAACAAAGCCTCACCTGGAAAGGGCTTCCCGCTGTTGTGTTTTTCATCAACGCCCATGCAATCTAATGGCCTTTAAGTTTGACTACCCATTGCAACCTGGCCTGGCCCTCAACCGGACAGTTTCCCTGGAAAGTCCTGTTACAAGCAGTTCCCGGCCAGGTCATCAAAGGCTACTCGAAGTTCTCGGCCACGCCAAAGTACATGGTCTACAACTGAGTTCGCCCAAGGCGCTACGTTTAGGCTGCGGCAGCTCCCTTTTTCAGGCCATGATTTGATGCCCAAGAATGCTTCTCCAGCAGGTTTGGCAAAAAATCGTACTTCATGGAAGGTGTTCTTTTGGAAAATCACCGTGAAACGGAGGTGTTTCTTTGCTGCTTCATCGTGGGCCTTTTGGGAGCCAAGAATCAAGCACCTGCCCCACTATGAAGAGACGACTGATGGTGCCGCTGGCACCGGTGCCGCTGGCACCCGCCCAGTGTGAGCGAACAGAAGCACAGTGGGACAAAAAGACTTCAGCTGAGAACGAGGGAGTTGGAGATCCAGTTGGAAACTGAGAAGCTGACGGTCTACAACAGAGACCGCCGGCGGTCTCTAACTTGTGCATAATGTGTGTTTGTTTCTCCATGGTGGTTGGAGTGATATGTGAGCTTCTGGCAACCAACTGCAGTTTCTTGAGAGGTCACTTCGTTCATTACAGTATCATTCAGTTGGCATCAATTGCCGCTCTTCCACGCACAAACATCATCCATTAGGATGCAGTTTTCCAGCTTCCAGTTGTTTAATCCGAGTGCAGCAGCATAGCATTCACTGTCCAACCGGCGACTTGAGTGATCTTGGTCACTCAGGAAGTGTCGCAATCTCGGGCGGGTAAAACTCAGGTGTCGATGGGGCAGTCCTCGTCACCGCAGATGGCAAGGCGGGCAGGGCGGGCAGCTGAGTAAGCCGGAGAGCTCGGACGGCCCAGAGCAACGACCCATATGACTAGCCGACCCCTTTGGTATTCCAAAGTGGTTTAATGTGGTTTGTGTATTTTATGTACTTGGATTTGCTGCTAGGAAACCCTGTAGGAAGGTTCCTTGAAAAAGTGAGGTATCGAAAGAGGGCGTGTGGCTCGCCTGTTCGTGTGCACCAAATCCCAGTATTTGACTGGGCTATAGGTAGTCAGTCAGTTCAAGGCCGTTGAATGGTGCCCATTCCATTGTGATCTACTGCAGGTTTGCCTGTACACAATGCATAGGCTCCTCTCTCAAGTTGAAGGAGCTCCCCCTGCAGGTTCTTTGCAAGTGCGAGTGAAGGCATTTGCAACTATAGCCTGGATCAAAAGTTGACCAGATCTTACAGCCCAGGGTTTTGCATACAGACCACGCTCAAAGGAAGTACCATCACTGGTTGGAGACGGTGGCCAACATCGATCAACCAATACTTGAAAAAGAGTCACAAATAAGTTGCACCATCATACCATCGTGATGATGTCCTATAGGTCAAAGACCTCATTTTCCTGGAGATAATCATACAAAAATACTCAGTAAGATAAAGGACAAGGTTTTACTTGCGAAACAATGCGAAGACTTGTTCCGTTTCTTTTTGGGAGTCCTGTAGTTCTCATGTTTTTCCGTGGCTTTGGCCGCCCCAGTGCTGACGGCGTCGGCGTGAGGTCCTACGACAAAAATCCTGCCCAGTGCCTGGGGGCCCACGTCGCGAGCGCGTTTGCGATGGCGCTACAAACGCGTTGCTCCAAACGTGTGGCTTGGCCATTCCACCAAGTCACTTGAGCAACTGGCTAAACTCTCCATCAAACGGAGTAGTATTGGAGCACAGTAGTATTCCACCCAGGCACTTGGTCGGTCGCAGGTCATGTAACATGATGGGGTTTTGAGTGCGAGCAGCATGACAGGCCGTGAGGAAAAAGCACTCCGCACAGCTTCACAAAAACTGTCTTCGGTCCAGAAGTTTCAGTCATTTTGTCGGGAATGTCAAACAGCAAGAGTCTCAATATGACTCAATGTCCAGTCCCTTTGGTTATCAAGCATTGCGTTGCTTGTGGATTCCACTCTCATTGGGGTTGTCAACCCCAAAAGGACCTTCCTAAAAAGAAACAACTGGTTCAACCCATTCAACGCCCACCCCCTCACACCTCACACCCACGCCCATCCCAGCGCTCGCCCATCCCTCATCCAAGCCATCCCAGCCTGCGCTCCCCCATCCCAGCACTCCCCCTGGAGGCCTGGGGGGAAGGTGGTGGACACCACGGGCGCGGGCGATTGCTTCCGCTCAGCCTTTGCGGTAGCACTGGTGGAGGGCAAACCTCTGCAGGACGGCCACGTTCACCGGCTCGGGTAGGCGGCGGAGGGGAAAGCGAGCAAGCGATGGCGCAGGTGAAGGGACACAGGATTTCGGAGGGGTTTGGGGGCCGAGTGTTGGGGTGACATCAAGTCATATCAAGTCGCATAAGTGCCAGATAAGATATAAGATAAGAAAGTATGCGGCATTGTGTAGCAGTGTAGCGCCACTCTTTGTTTCTTGGTATGTT